AAGTGGTGTACAGGTGGGGGCAACTATTGGCCATGTTTCAATGGAAAGATGAATCAAATAACTCTTAAGGTGAAAGTGTTCAAACCCAGCTATATCCAGAATAAGGTAGGATTCTGCCCCAGTGAGCGGTAGGATTTCTCCCGAGAGTGCCTCAAGGGCCGTGGCGCTGCCAGAGGTTCTCCCAGGGGCGTAGATAACTGGTCAACCAATCCAAGCTCTCTTCATCTGCTGTCGATCCTGACTTGGCAGTGGTGCCGTGCTCCTTCCCAGGTGATTTGTTAAAACAATTACTGCCTGGGTGCTGCTTGTTCTTTGCTCTATAGGGGCAAATCCCTACTTGCTTATGCCAGCAATTGCATACCACGCATCTCCACCAAGTGTAGCAAGAAGAGAGCAGCAGGCTCCCACAGCAGGGACAAGACACTTGTTATTTTCTCTTCTTTATTTACTCTAGGAATCACCCGAGGAAGGAAAGGCTGGAACCTAGAGCAGACATAATTAGTCATTGTACATACAAAACAAGCTTAACTGTTGTCATAATCACATATTGGCACAACACATGAGTAGGAACTTAAAATACATAACAATAAGCCTAAATCACCAGCATAACAAGAGGTGGACAGTTGAAGCTAACTCATTCAGGGGTGGTGGGGGATGAATGTCTGTAGAGCAATGCATTTATTAACCTCATTCACGATTACAAACTACCTCCACACGTTCATCACATTCTACATATGACACTCCTTATACTCAACCTATCAAATACACCCTAATAGAGCTAAAAATACTTGGTACACACTTGTTGCTGGTGGCTCGAATTAGTTAAATCGAGAAAATACTGTACTTGGCGCAGGTAGGGTGGGAAAGTCACTCAACTGTCTTATTGAAAGGAAAACATTAGAATAACTGAGTAAACATTTTATTACTGAGGACATCTTGTACATAACACTGGAAAAACTTGTACAGCACCAATAGAAAATGACACGGCAACAATCATTCAGGAAACACCATCTTTATTATACTGTATCCACTGTTTCACTTCCCCTACAATTGTTTATGAATGGAAGAGAGGGACACATTTTTTATTTATTTTTTTTAAAGTAACATTTATTCAGACTCTCACATCCTAACAGTCAAAATGTTCTTGTAATAGGTTGTTAAATAAACTATAATTTCTTTGTGTGTGTGTTTATAATAAAAATATTAAAGTCAATATTGGAAGTACGTGTACAGACTAGACACTATTAAAATAAGTCAGAGGCTGAATTTCAGGTTTAATACTTATCACTTATGCTGTAAAGGTCTCATTGCTTATTGGATCCAAAGTTGGCATGGTGCTGTTTTTGGAACCTAAGTGTGTTCATAAGAAATTTTTTGTTGATAGACACATCAATAAACACCAACAAACACACTCAAGTTCCTAAGTCAGTATCATGCTAAGTGTGAGCCCTGATATGATTCCTTAACTTAATGTAAATATTTATTAACTGCACTAAACATCTGTACTGTTGATATATTTATTGTAATAATTTTGGCATTGTTCCTTAATTGTTTTACTCTGGAAATTTTAAAGAGTTCTTTGTGTCGTAATATGACAGTGCAGAAAATGCAAATTACATGAGCTTTGTGTGGTAAATACATTTTACAACTGTAAAATCAACTACTGGTAGGATATAAAATATATATATACATTTGTACAAGAGAAAACAATTTATATACTGTAGACTAGATTGCTTTGATATAACACTTATTCAGGGTTTCATTTTGAATTGATGGACCAAATTAACCTTTTGAACCTGTCTGGGGAAGAGGTTCATTCCTTAAAAAATCTTCATTTAACTGATAATAGAAAAAATAGCAACCTACTCTCAGGTGATATCAGCATGTTGCTATAATTTTTCTAATTTGTTTTTGGTTTATGGTATGTAGCCAAAACTGCATTTTCGTTTTTTTTTTCTACCTAAACATTTAGTGAAAACCCTGCTTATGAATGATATACCAGGCAAAGACGGAACATCCACAATGAATGTACTGACTGAAGAGCGGAAACATTTACATAATTTAACAGCGTCATAGGCTGGAGGTACCCGTCAGGGATATTCTTGTGGCTATTTTTACTGACAAAGATTACCAGTTAACTTGTACTCTGGAGTCCTTTCAGTGATCTCTCCGTTAGCCGGAATAATTGGTGGAGCCCTTCCGGGATTGAGAGATTTCCGGGTAACAAGATGACTCTCAAAGTGTGGGAAAAATCCCTCATTCCCGGAATTTTCCAGGAAAAATATTTTCAGAAGTTCCAGAAATTGCGCATTACATCTCTCAAACCCGGTAAAAATATCCCCCGTGCCTGGAATTTTCCAGGGACTGGGGAAATTTTCTCTGAATTTTCCAGAAAATGTGTCCCTCGGAAAATTGTTCCCAAAGCTGGAAAATTCCGGGTTTGGGAACAATTTTCCGAGAAAATTTAAATTCCGCCTTTCGTAAAGTTCCGGGTTTGAGAGATTCCAGCTAACAGAGATAATACTGTACTTGTACACATTATCTACTAACATGCCACAGAGATGAAACCTTGAATTTCCCTCTTCTTATACAGTGATTTTCAGTGCTTCAACTTTTATCCTTGTGTTATTTTCTGTTCTAAGTGCTTCAACTGTTAGGGATATTAAGTACAATTCATAGTTCTTAGTTTCTACAACAGAACAACTTTAAAAAAAATTAAAAATAGAGAAGACCGACTGTTTAGGGCTCATCAAAATTACATATTCTTTCTTGGGTAATTCGAGTTCCTCTCCTTTTGTTTATACAGATTATCATAGAGACACATTTTATGGTAAGAGAACACACATTATTTTCTGAGTATCAATGGCAAATAAACAACACCTAAATAAACCTCAGAATTTTCAAGTTACTGGATCATTTCACATCAACACTTCAGTACACATTATTTGTATCGTTGTATGTAACTGGTATATTACTAATATTGTGAGGTCTGGCCAGTGTACATCACAACCTCATATACAACACCTTAATAACTTGGGACACACTTAAGAGCCTTCAGACATCCCTGTCTCTACACATCATTTGCCATCTCTTTTCCACTCACCTTTTCAGTCATTCTAATTTTAACGTGCTGCATCGTCTTTCTCTCCCACTGTGTATTAATAAGCTAGGTGCATATTTGATGAAAGATAGGCAACTTCTACATACTGTACTGTACTAGTAAAGTTTTAGCTCCCTATACTGTATGTACAAAAAATGTGAAATGCTCCCCAATGATGGCTGCCGTCCCAATAGCACTGATGATGACTTATACAGTATTTAAAGGTTAAAACGAATGGTGGATAAACACCCACACTTAACAGAGTTTGACTTGGTGTTTAAATGAGTTACATTAGTCAATCCAATTTGTGTTTCTGTTAATTAATTTAAAAAAACCAGAGTCAGTCGTTATCACAAAAATTTGCGATATTATAAATTCTCATGTTAGTAAAGATATGAATTTTGTTATTTAGAATAATCTTATTTAAATATTTTCTAATGGGGCTATACAGTATACGAGTTGCTTTGTGTGTGCATATGTTAATTTCTCATGGAATACAGAGTTTAATAATGTTATAGAAAGCACTGTACTGTATGTCTGTAAGAGATACATCGATATTATAAGGAAATTATCTTAATTTATGGCCTTCAAATTGTGGTTAATTCATACATACAGGTACATTAATATTTGTCTTCAATGGTAATGATTTATTGTACAACTTAACGATACAAGCGTGTGTAGTATTTCTACTGGTTCTAGCACTCCCTTGTACACTTACTTCCATCACTCCCCCATCAATTCCTCTGTTTGTTTTATAAGTTTATGTACCCTTTGATCCACTCCACAGTATAGTGGGAGAGAGATGTGGTAGTTTCCTGTAGCGTAATAACTGAAGTCCTAAATGCAAATGTTTATATGTTAGGTAGATGTTTAAGAGCAGGATGAAGAACCTGCACTATTTGAGACTGAAGGTGAGAAGGACCTATGTGTGTATGTTGACAATGAGCTGAAGTTCTCGGGCCATTGCGAGAAGAAGGTAAATCAGGCATATAAATTATTGGGTCTTATAAGAAGGTCGTTCAGATATCTAGACGGTCCATCCCTCGTAACAATCTTCAAGAGTGAAGTGCTTCCTCATCTGGAATACTGTCACCCCCGTCTGGTTCCCGAGATATGCTAGGGACTGTCAGTTGGTTGAAAATGTTCAAAGGAGGGCCACCAGACTGGTGCCCGCCCTTCGGCACCTCAGCTACCCTGAGAGAGTGGAGCGCCTGAACTTGCCTAACTTATACTACAGATGGGCAAGGGTTGACCTAATAGAGGTACCTGTATATATGCATCTCAAGGGGCACTACTCAGTCGAGTGTCCTTACTTGGAGTTGGCGGACGCTCACCCCACAAGGGGTCATAGCTCAAGATTGAAGAAGCAGCAAGTCCAGAAAACTGCGAGGGCAAACTTTTTCGGAGTGAGAGTTGTGAACTCTTGGAACAATCTACCAGAAAGTGTTGTGACGGCACCGAGCGTAAGCTCTTTTAAGACAAGACTTGACCAACACTGGAGCGGGTTCAGGTACATTCAGGAGCTGGTGCATGCCCAGTACTTGCCAACAGTGCGTAACAGAGACGTGACCGATCGCCCAAGCGGCTAACGAGCCGATCTTTTGGTGAAGAGGATAAAAGAAAAGGAAAAATAATCAGACGTGACCTATCGCCCAAGCAGCTAATGAGCTGATCAATGGTGAAGAGGATAAAAGTTAAAGAAAAAAGTAAGAGCTATTAAAAAATCAGAGTGGCAGATTTTGAACTTTAGAAATGTTATAGATCTTTAGTGAGTACATGTAATGTGCAGTTAACACAAGTTAGTCAAATGAGTGAACTTTACTCTTAAGGTGTGGTGTTTAAAGCCATGGCATACTTTTTTAATATATTGGCCAGCACCTGGTGGTCAACATAAGGAAGTTAAATATATCTAGAAGACTATCTCCCTAGCTAGATTTTTACTGCTGTTCCCTTCTTGAGGTTTGTATCCCTTGATACATGTCATATATTGTGGCAGAAGAGGAACATTACTGTACATCAATAGAGGAAGCCATCAGCTATATATGGTGGAAAGATTTAGCAGGAAGCACTCTAACAGTTGTTTAATATTGCATTTATAACCAGACAATATTTCAGTCTCCATGAGAGGGAGACAAAAATCAAAGATGATATGCATCATTCATGAGTGAAATTATATTCAAGAAAATTTTAATGACTTCAATCATTGTCATCATAAAAACTACGCTTTATGCTTAGACAATATTAATTCTTGGCAAGAACAAATAATTGATTTTTAGTCAGTTTAGTATCTCAGGGTAACTGTACACCACATCACGAAGAAGAATGTAAATACACCTTCTTAAGCTCAGTGACTATAATCTCAAAGGTTTGTATGATGTATTTTCCCTGACTGACATGAGAACAAATCTAACTGGCTCATTTATGTAACGAGACAAACACAGTATAAAGGTCACAATGGCATCAATATTGTGCCAATTAAACAGGAACATTTAATGTACAAGCTTTTGAAAATCTGGTCACAGGCTTAAAGTAGTTTTTGGCCATATTGTGTCTACTTCATGTTGATAACTTAAATAATTTCTCTTACATGAAGTAATCTGACAAGAAATCACGTAAGATAATACTGAGATGGTTCTACAGGATCTGACAAAATATTTTAATATAATAAACTGTTTACTTGAGGATCTGAAGTCCAATCTTGTGGCATTTTATATTGATGTGGGAGCAACAATATTATACATTTAGTAATGATCGTAACAGATAAAGAATTTTGTATATCTTTCATGAGGAAAACTTAATTTAATGCCAAATATCATTCACCCTCACACAACTAGAGGAAGATCCTAATGTTCAATAATAACAAGTTTCTTCCCATAGTTTTTCAGTGTGACTCAGCCACACATACACACATTTGTATATCATACTTAATATCTAGTCACACACAATACATATGTACACACACCCATTCACACATGCCCAAAAAATGCATGAATGCGCACACACACAATGGGTATATACAGTACACATGCACATTTTATTACATAATTATAAAGTTACTGTATATTTTACTAAATAGTACATATTGATATTTATATTCATATAAAATATCAAAGCAATACTTTACATATTTTTGGTTTCATTACATTGTCAGAATAAAATTACTCAACATTAAATACACACTAACACACTGAGCAAACGACAAAATAATCATTCAAAAGAAATGTTTTTGCATATGTACAATGTCTACAGTTACATCATGTATAAATAACTTTAAAAATAACTATACTATACAGTTGATGAAGCTTTTAGAAAGCCATTTAATGACAACTAACTATAGAATAACTGATTGTTATTATTTCTGCTCAGACTCCGAGGATTTGTGTCGCTGTCCTGACGCCTGATGCCTGGCCGGGTGGTGTTGTACCGTACCACATCTTGTGTGGGCTCCTGAGGTGACGGTGATCTCCCTAAAGAAGATCCTAAAGCACCAGGCAAATCCAAGTCTCCATCTATGTCATCAATATCTGAAATGGAATAACTTCCTGAAAAATGAGTATACAGTATGTACCGATGGGGGTAAACGAATCCTCGATTCGTACCATCAAGAAGAGTGAGGCTACGATAAGGGCTAGTGGTGCTAGTGGCACATTGACAAGTGCAAAAGTAACATGTCATGCGACCATAATCTTGAAAAGATGGAAAAGGCACTGAACATGTGAATGGAAGACTAGGCCCAGAAAAATGTGTCTGGTGAAGGCCAGGCAGATTTACGGCCACCTGGTTGAAAGTGCGGGTGAGGAAAGTGTGGCGGATATAAAATTTAAAGCCGGTAAAGGCTGGTTTAAAACTTTAAGAAAAGATACAGCCTGTACAATATTAAACTCACTGGGAAATTCGCATCAGCTGATCACCATGCTGCTACACTGTACCCTCAAGAATTTGTACAATTGATTCAGAGAAAGGCTTCCTGCCGGAGCAAATATTCAAGACAGACAAGACTGGCCTTTTTTGGAAGATTGCCAAAAAGATCATTTATTTCCAAGGCTGAGAGATCTGCTCCCGGATTTCAGGCAGCGAAAGACAAGCTGACCCTTCTCCTTTGTGGTAACACCTCAGGGGACTGTTTCATAAAGCCCATAATCCTCCACTGAGTATTTCATGGAAAGTGATCTTTTTATGGAGCACAGCCTTAAGTTTAAGTGTGTGTTGGAGGATGCAATGAGGCTTCTTTTTTTTTCAGCAAGATAGTGACCACCGCTGCTATAGATGTCTCGCTCACTGACCCACAACCCTCCACCAGCGGCTACACTCCAACCACCACCGGCCAAGATGTCACTGTGTCACCCACCTCATCATTAAACATTGACGAACCTGAAGAGGCGCATGAAGAGCGTGGGTCTGTGCCCTCTTCCTTATAACAACCACCTCTCCCTCCACATCATCCTCATCCACCATTGTCCCCAATGAAGGTAAATACCCCTTAACTGTTAAATTTATATTATTATTTAATTTCTATTATGCTGTTTTATATGCATTTGTGTAGGAACAGGCAACTTACTTAGGCTTTGACAAGTGTTATCGGAGGCCATGGAACCTAACCCCCTATTTCTCATAAGCCTTTAATCTCACTAAAGATGGGATTTTCCAGGAACCTAACCCCCACGGTTGGCGAGGGACTACTGTAATCACCATTTCATGATTTTTTTATTAATATATAACAGATCTATTACCATAATCACAAATAGAGGATACTGCAATGTGGTGTTACACTGTACAGTACTTAGATATGGATTGCTTTATGAGATATCCTTTCATTAATTACTACAGTGCAGTAAGATCCTGCTGAATGAGATTTCAGTTGTACACTTAAACAGTGTCATCATCAATGGATGTTAGCTGTAGGGATGGTGCCTAACATCAATGGATGTTTCATGTCCCTTGCATTCCTTTTTTTGCACATATGGAGGAGGATTAGGGACTCTTTAGCTGTCGTTTATGGGGATAACAAGTTTAGTGTTTCAGGGTGTGAAAATTCAATTAATGAACTTTATTGTTTACAATTTTACATGCAAACCAGCTCATATTATCATTCATGGAGTGAAGCTCGTCATGCTTTGTCATTTACTGAGCAGCCAGCCTGGCTAATACACTCAAAAACCCATTTTTATACAGTAACTACTGTATTCTGAGGTGAAGTCAGTGGTAGAGTGACAGCCTGGGCAGCCAGTGATCTTTGTCAGTTGAGCAGTGTCTGTTTACCATCATATTTTTTACCTTGTGGGATGTGCATCACCTCTGTCTGGTCATTTCTCATTATTTTTACAATCGACCCCAAGATTGATGCGTCCAAAGAAGACAACAACACTACGAGGATGAAGACCACCATGGAGATGAAATTGTATGTACTATAATGAATGGACTATGATGAAAAAGTTCATAATATCTGCAGATCTGTGGGAGTTAATGTCAGTAACCAAGATGAGAAAATTAAAGCAGAGCAAAGTCAATGACATCCCTGAGTGGCAAGTGCAATAATGTGATGGAAAATATGGAAAGACTTTTTGGATTGAGATGCAGAATCAGTGCATCAAGCCTCTGAGTCATCTGGTGATCATGGAGAAAACCAAGACTGTTTAATGATCTGAAAGAAAAAGGTGTGAGTGCTCGCTTATTTGGAAGATTTAAGATATGGAACACCATGCATGACATTATGGAGGCTGCAAGTGCAAGTGTGGAGGATCTACTCACTTCACATGAGTAAACTTGGTCAAGTGATTAGTTGATACAGCTGGAAGAACATTGAGCATTATAGGATGAGGATGTTGCTGATGGAGAGAACCCAAATGAGTTTCCTGCTTTGATATGCGAGGCGATTGAGTGCTCTAACGAAGTGTGTAGAGAGAAGCAGAAAACATTATATAGTCCACCATCACAAGACATTTCTGCCTAATATCATCTTATAATCTACGATCTTTGGGTTAGAGTGCATTATAGTTTATACCATAGGGATTTGGGTTGAAAATTTATGGACTGGAATACATCTCAACTTTAAACATGGGGTCCCGCTGAAAGAAAATTCACCAAATGAGCACCTTTCAAGTTGTTTGGTATTGTCTTCAAATAATTTAATTATTAAATGATTTGACAGAAAATGTCCAAATTTAATATTAGAGTAATGATACTTAATAGTATGGAGGATGAGTATTATAAATCATAGCCAAAAGCATGTAAATTAAGTTTGAAAATAAAAACAATTTAAATTTTGTATAACTTTATGTGAACTTAATGTAAGTGGCATACACTTGGCTACAGGAAGTCTTTGGACAGTTTCTAGAATGAGAGAGTTTTGATCCAATCTGAGTTGCATTCCAATTTGTAAGGTAGAGAGAGAACTGTATGATAAATACTGTTAATACAAAAAGAGAAATTATTTGCTAATGAGTAAAAAAAATATTCTGATACAGGGAGTCATTAAACGTTAGTAATAGAAAGTTACTCTGTTTTCCGCCATTCAAATTTATAATAAAAAACTAAATACACAAAGGAAACGTGGACATCACACAAAATACTGTACTTTGCAGGAGCAGACCTGTTGCAAACACAGATGTGAGGGGGTCATGCATCATCTTGGCTTCTTTCTTGGCTCGATGGCGGTCCACCAGGAGCCGTCCCACCACCACAATCAGGAACAGTAACAGACCCACACACAACCCAACCATCAGGTATAGGATGAACTTTTCAAAATTTTCTGAAATGTCAAAATAATTTCCTCTATTGTTACACTGCTGATTAATAGAAAAAAGCACATAATGGCATCTTGTTCCATAAAAGAGGCGGAGGAAGAGCTGAAAAATACTTTAAATGATGGTATTTTCTTATTGCTTAAGTACAAAACTAATGTGTGTGTGTGTGTGTATGTGTGTGTGTGTGTGTGTGAAGGCTGAAGAGATGGCTGGATGTATTTATAAAATAGATCAAAGTATTGAGAAAATTTTCTAAAAGTAAGTGTGTATGATATCACATGACATGGGCATCATCATCTTCCTCACCCTGAAGGTCAAGTTGATCAGTTTTTTGAAAGAGTGATTTATTTACAATAATATATTAACACAATATAGAACAACATTAGGGGAAAATTAATATAACGTTGCTTACTTTTGATAAAGGCTATAGCCCTCATCCACTCTGTCAGGAAACCAATCTCACGATCTCGGGAACCTGAGAGGATGGTGACAGTACAGTTTATGAGGTCGGGTTGAGACTTGGGTATACCATCCCGGGGATAATCACTTGCTGAAGGAAAAACCTTCTCGTCTGGAAATGTATCAAAGAGTAAACTTTGAATTCTATATCTAAATCTCTGTCGGGAATTACATGAGAATCTGGCCATTTTAGGGAACCCTGGAATGGTTGTTTTTAAGACAAACACAGGATGAGGTCTGTGTTTGCATGACAGGGAAGAATATATACAAGATATTTCTTAAAAATTTACTAACAATGGTCCATAAAAGTCATGTGTGGTGCACCTAATGATTTCTCAAAATTGGTTCTTTGTGTGCATCTATATACAGTACATGCAATTATGAGAGTATGTTTATAATATCCAGTACTTATATATAAGTGATGTAGGTATTTAGATATTTTTCAGGTCTTGGATTTTTGCTCAAAACTTTGAAGACCTAAAATTTATCAATATTCAGGTGTGTTGGAAAGAACTGATCATTTAGTTAAGTTTAGGTTCAAGTAGTGGAGTTACTACATCTCAAGTCACTACATAGACAACCAATCTACCAGAAGTTGAGATTTCCTGTGGGTCATACTCAATTTTCTAAGGCAACAAACGTAAGCATACTACATAAAAACTACCCGCACACCACACAAATGAATGCTACAGGGAACTGCATGTGATCAAAGGGAAGGAACATGATGTAGCCTCTGCGTCATGAGAACCTTGTTACTGCATTGAGGAAGGCATCTGTGTCTTATGAGGCCAGGACCTCTAGGTGAATGGCCCTAATAGTCAGACATGTAAACAGACATCCCCCAAAGCTGGACTTGTTTTCGCCCTACCTTGATTGTAGTTGGGGTTAAAGCCTGAATCTGAATGTAGGTATGATGTGAGGAGGAGTAATTAAGATTGTGAAAATGCTCATCTCCTCCCCTCCATATTTAGGCTAGTGCACCTCTTGGCTCAATTGGTCTCATCCATTGTCTCCACATGCCCAAACCATCTCAGTTTACCTCTGTATAGAACTTCACCATTAACATTAATATCCAGCTGCCCTCTTTACTCTGAACAAGGTATCTCCTGTCTTTCAGTGTCTTATTGCATATCCACCTCACCATTTTCATTTCAACTTGCTCAATCCACCCTAGTGTATACTACCTGATACTTAACCACCCCAAGGCTACCTGGGGTTAATCTTCATATGATCCATAATTGATAAAATTGTAAATGATCTTGTATACATGCAGGTAGGGTGTATGTAAGGATGTATATGTAAGCATGCACACTTAAAAAGAATGAGAAAACAATCTTACTTTTCTTATTTGAAGATTTGGTAGTAACAGTAGGGTTGTAGAACATGGTGGGAGTCTGTGTGTGTTGTGGGGGTGAGGTTGGCAAGAATGGGTCTGGTGAGGCCGGGTGAGATGCTGGTGGCAGCCCGGGTAACATCAGACTCTCCTCTTCATCATAATCCTCCTCCTCCTCTTCATCTTCTTCTTCTTCTTCATTCTCTTCACCTTCTGCTTGGGATGTTGGTTTCAAGATTTTTTTGGGGACTGAAATGAAGATTAGACTTATAGTGTACAAAATATGATAAGTATTATCTTTTTCATATTATTATTTTTATATATTTTTTCCCATACATTTTATCACTCGCCTTGAGGGCTGACCAGGAAAGGTATGATAGGATGTGAATGGGAAAAATTACCAACATTTATATCCTTGGAAAATATATATTAGTCGATGGTATTTTTTTTAAATTGTTGCACAGTACAGCATATTATTTTATCTGTTATGTACTGGGGAAATTTAGGCCCATTACTTTAAAAATATACTGTATCTGTACGTAGTTTTCAGTTAACCAGCACAAAAATGGATTGACTGGTATCTAGGTGACACCAGGGGGGGGGGGTTAAACTATAATGCTATCAATAGTTATTTTGGTTGTTTAGCAAAGATACCAAGTCATTGATAGATAATAATACTGTACAGTGCATAATAACAAGAACAAAATCTTCAACAAGATCATACCACAAGTATAGACAGTCTTCATGTACATCTTGGAGTCGGGTGAGCAAGGTGATCCAAACACCTCCGAGTCTGCCCGGAGGTGGCACTGACGATGGCCGTGGCAGAGCTTCATAACAATCTCATTTGCATAACTTGCTTGGCACTCTGGAAGGTTTATCATGTGTCACCATAAAAACTATGCAGTATAAATGTTCACAAGTTACCAGAAATTTATCATCCTTACTTATAACTTTTGTGTGGAGTAAAACAAGATGTAGACAAACCCCTCTTTCAGTGGAGCAAGATTTGTTTAAAAGGTAACGGTAAATATTTAGGGTAAAAATTGGAAACATCCAACATACTCTTGCTTATATCCTTAACTTACAACTACAGTATACAAAGTGAATTTCTAGTACAGTATTTATATGAAATTTCCTTTTACTCAAGAAAATTTGTTTAAACTGAATACTGGTAATAAGCAGGAATTAATAGTTAATTAATAGTTATTCAGATTAGACGAGTTTTTTTTTTATCTTGGTGTAAGTGTTCGTATGAGTGAAGTGTCAGTAAGAGGAACTACTGTAGTTGGTGTAAAATGTGTAAGTGGTCATGGTAGGAGGATGTCCAGACAGATTGATTCAGTATCTGTTTATTGTTATTACTGTTAGTGTTATTATTAATCTTTCTGGCCAGGTAAACCAAAAGGGAACTTTGTTTTGCCTATCATGTATCCATCCATTTGTCTACTTATCCTTCCATCTGTTCATAAGTAGCACCAGTGCACTAACCACTTTCACATTATGTTCAAAAAGGTACAAGTGCTAAGTGCCATGGTATATTATTGATGCATGTTTGACACATATTTGATCAGCTGGTGAATTGGTTGTCAATTTCCTATCTCTGTGTACTACTGTTAGTATATTTGCATTTAGATATTCATAAACAAATAATTGATCATTGATGGGTCATCTTATGTCATCCCACAAAGTGTAGGATAAGACAATATGAAATTTATCTCTAATTGTGAAGTTGAACAGATTACTTGTAGCAGGCAGTCCCCGAGTTACGACTGACCGAATTACAATCACCCTCACTTACAAATGGGATCCCAATATATATTTATCTAAAACAAATTTAATTAAAATCCTGTCTTTTATATTATTTTTATTATTCTGTATTATTTAGCATCACTTTATTTACAGTATTTACATTATTTGTTATGTATTGGATATTGCTGTATGGGCAAGGTTGTGCCCATATAATATTCTGTACCGGTAAATGCGAGGAATAAATAAAAATATTACTGTACACAAAAACACTTGAACTTAACTCATCACAAATGATGTTGATCTGCATGAGGTTTGTTTTATATCCAACATAATTTCTTTATGGGCTCTTTTTATCAATACTGCTTCCACTTTTACCTGATGGCCTCTTTCCACTCATCTTGAATAAGGGTAATACACTGGACAGTCTTGAATAAGATATGTACAGTAACTAAAACAACCATCTGTGCATACTTTGTGGGAAACAATATCAGACCATGGATGATAAATTTTGGTATAGGAGGGCTGTCACTAGTCACACGTAAAATTTCAGAGCTTATCGACCCCCCACCTGTACAGATACTGTAGTTGTTTTAGCCACTGTACATGAGTGTTAAATCCAAGAGCTGGGGTCAAGATATCAAGCGTACATGCTGGGTGATAACAACACTGAGCTAGGGTATCCATGCTTGGTGGTAACAAACACCAAGAAATGAACACCAAATAAATTGTAATTTCTGTGATTTTTTCTTCTACAGTATACTGCAATTTTCGTGTTGAAAATTTTGACATTTAACCCCATTTCCGTAAGTCAAATTTATGGGCTATATCCCAAATTAGTGATCATAATTTACAAATTCTGTATAGGCAAATTACTGCAGTAAAAGTTTGTCATGTAATTAAAATAAAACTAGCTCTTAAATCTATTTTTATTTACCAAAGGGTTAGTCTTGGGTGTGTGAGGTGACCAGGAGGTTAGTCTTGGGTGTGTGAGGTGACCAGGAGGTTAGTCTTGGGTGTGTGAGGTGACCAGGAGGTTAGTCTTGGGTGTGTGAGGTGACCAGGAGGCTAGTCTTGGGTGTGTGAGGTGACCAGGAGGTTAGTCTTGGGTGTGTGAGGTGACCAGGAGGTTAGTCTTGGGTGTGTGAGGTGACCAGGAGGTTAGTCTTGTGTGAGGTGACCAGGAGGTTAGTCTTGGGTGTGTGAGGCACCAGGAGGTTAGTCTTGGGTGTGTGAGGTGACCAGGAGGTTAGTCTTGGGTGTGAGGTGACCAGGAGGTTAGTCTTGGGTGTGAGGTGACCAGGAGGTTAGTCTGAGGTGACCGAGTAGTCTGTGTGAGGTGACCAGAGGTTAGTCTTGGGTGTGGAGGTGACCAGGAGGTTAGTCTTGGGTGTGAGGTGACCAGGAGGTTAGTCTTGGGTGCTGAGGTGACCAGGAGGTTATCTTGGGTGTGAGGTGACCAGGAGGTTAGTCTTGGGTGTGTGTGAGGTGACCAGGAGGTTAGTCTTGGGTGTGAGACCAGGAGGTTAGTCTTGGGTGTGTGAGGTGACCAGGAGGCTAGTCTTGGGTGTGTGAGGTGACCAGGAGGTTAGTCTTTGGGTGTGAGGACCAGGAGGTTAGTCTTGGGTGTGTGAGGTGACCAGGAGGTTAGTCTTGGGTGTGTGAGGTGACCAGGAGGTTAGTCTTGGGTGTGTGAGGTGACCAGGAGGTTAGTCTTGGTGTGTGAGGTGACCAGGAGGTTAGTCTTGGGTGTGTGAGGTGACCAGGAGGTTAGTCTTGGGTGTGTGAGGTGACCAGGAGGGTCTTGGGTGTGTGAGGTGACCAGAGGTTAGTCTTGGTGTGAGGTGACCAGGAGGTTAGTCTTGGGTGTGTGAGGTGACCAGGAGGCTAGTCTTGGGGTGTGAGGTGACCAGGAGGTTAGTCTTGGGTGTGAGGACTGGGAGTGTCTTGGTGTGTGTGAGGTGACCAGGGGTTAGTCTTGGGTGTGTGAGGGACCAGGAGGCTAGTCTTGGGTGTGGAGGTGACCAGGAGGTTAGTCTTGGGTGTGAGGTGACCAGGAGGTTAGTCTTGGGTGTGAGACCAGGAGGTTAGTCTTTGGGTGGAGGACCAGGAGGCTAGTCTTGGGTGTGTGGAGGTACGAGGGGTTAGTCTTGGGTGTGTGAGGTGACCAGGAGGCTAGTCTTGGGTGTGTGAGGTGACCAGGGGGTTAGTCTTGGGTGTGTGAGGTGACCAGGAGGCTATCTTGGGTGTGAGGTGACCAGGAGGCTAGTCTTGGGTGTGAGGTGACCAGGAGGTTAGTCTTGTGGGTGTGTGAGGTGACCAGGAGGTTAGTCTTGGGTGTGTGAGGTGACCAGGAGGCTAGTCTTGGGTGTGTGAGGTGACCACAGGGGTTAGTCTTGGGTGTGTGAGGTGACCAGGAGGTTAGTCTTGGGTGTGTGGAGGTGACCAGGAGGCTAGTCTTGGGTGTGTGAGGTAACCAGGAGTTAGTCTTGGGTGTGTGAGGTGACCAGGAGGTTAGTCTTGGGTGTGTGAGGTGACCAGGAGGCTAGTCTTGGTGTGTGAGGTGACCAGGAGGTTAGTCTTGGCGTGTGTGAGGTGACCAGAGGTTAGTCTTGGGTGTGTGAGGTGACCAGGAGGTTAGTCTTGGGTGTGTGAGGTGACCAGGAGGTTAGTCTTGGGTGTGTGAGGTGACCAGGAGGTTAGTCTTGGGTGTGAGGTGACCAGAGGCTAGTCTTGGGGTGTGAGGTGACCAGGAGGTTAGTCTTGGGTGTGTGTGAGGTGACCAGAGGAGTCTTGTGGAGGTGACCAGGAGGCTAGTCTTGGGTGTGAGGTGACCAGGGTTAGTCTTGGGTGTGTGAGGGTGACCAGGAGGTTAGTCTTGGGTGTGTGAGGGGTGACCAGGAGGTTAGTCTGTGTGTGAGGTGACCAGGAGGTTAGTCTTGGGTGTGAGGTGACCAGAGGTTAGTCTTGGGTGTGAGGCACGGAGGCTAGTCTTGGGTGTGAGGTGACCAGGGTTAGTCTTGGGTGTAGGTGACCAGGAGGTTAGTCTTGGGTGTGTGAGGTGACCAGGAGGTTAGTCTTGGGTGTGTGAGGTGACCAGGAGGTTGGTCTTGGGTGTGAGGTGACCAGGGTTAGTCTTGGGTGTGTGAGAGGTGACCAGGAGGTTAGTCTTGGTGTGTGTGAGGTGACCAGAGGCTAGTCTTGGGTGTGTGAGGTGACCAGGGGTTAGTCTTGGGTGTGAGGTGACCAGGAGGTTAGTCTTGGGTGTGTGGAGGACCAGGAGGTTAGTCTTGGGTGTGTGAGGTGACCAGGAGGTTAGTCTTGGGTGTAAGGACGTGAAGAGGTCTTGGGTGTGTAAGGTGACCAGGAGGTTAGTCTTGGGGTGTGAGGTGACCAGGAGGTTAGTCTGGGTGTGAGGTGACCAGGAGGTTAGTCTTGGGTGTGGGGTGACCAGGAGGTTAGTCTTGGGTGTGTGAGGTGACCAGGAGGTTAGTCTTGGGTGTGTGAGGTGACCAGGAGGCTAGTCTTGGGTGTGTGAGGTGACCAGGAGGCTAGTCTTGGGTGTGTGAGGTGACCAGGAGGGTTAGTCTTGGGTGTGTGAGGTGATCAGGAGGTTAGTCTTGGGTGTGTGAGGACCAGGAGGTTAGTCTTGGGTGTGTGAGGGACCAGGAGGTTAGTCTTGTGTGAGGTGACCAGGAGGTTAGTCTTGGGTGTGTGAGACCAGAGGTTATCTGGTGTGTGAGGTGACCAGGAGGTTAGTCTGGGGTGTGAGGTGACCAGGAGGTTAGTCTTGGGTGTGTGGAGGTGACCAGGAGGTTAGTCTTGGGTGTGAGGTGACCAGGAGGTTAGTCTTGGGTGTGTGAGGTGACCAGGAGGTTAGTCTTGGGTGTGTGAGTGACCAGGAGGTTAGTCTTGGGTGTGTGAGGTGACCAGGAGGTTAGTCTTGGGTGTGAGGTGACCAGGAGGTTGTTTTGGGTGTGTGAGGTGACCAGAAGGTGTGTGAGGTGACCAGGAGGTTAGTCTTGGGTGTGTGAGGTGACCAGAAGGTGTGTGGAGGTGACCAGGAGGCTAGTCTTGGGTGTGTGAGGACCAGGAGGTTAGTCTGGGTGTGTGAGGTGACCAGAAGTGTGTGTGAGGTGACCAGGAGGTTAGTCTTGGGTGTGTGAGGTGACCAGGAGGTTAGTCTTGGGTGTGTGAGGTGACCAGGAGGTTAGTCTTGGGTGTGTGAGGTGACCAGGAGGCTAGTCTTGGGTGTGTGAGGTGACCAGGAGGTTAGTCTTGGGTGTGTGAGGTGACCAGGAGGTTAGTCTTGGGTGTGTGAGGTGACCAGGAGGTTAGTCTTGGGTGTGGGGTGACCAGGAGTTAGTCTTGGGTGTGTGAGGCAGCCAGGCTAGTCTTGGGTGTAATGAGGGTGGCCAGGTTAGTCTTGGGTGTGTGAGGTGACCAGGAGGCTAGTCTTGGGTGTGTGAGGTGATCAGGAGGTTAGTCTTGGGTGTGTGAGGTGATCAGGAGGCTAGTCTTGGGTGTGTGAGGTGACCAGGAGGTTAGTCTTGGGTGTGTGAGGTGACCAGGAGGTTAGTCTTGGGTGTGTGAGGTGATCAGGAGGTTAGTCTTGGGTGTGTGAGGTGACCAGGAGGTTAGTCTTGGGTGTGTGAGGTGACCAGGAGGTTAGTCTTGGGTGTGTGAGGTGATCAGGAGGTTAGTCTTGGGTGTGTGAGGTGACCAGGAGGTGTGTGGGGTGACCAGGAGGTTAGTCTTGGGTGTGGGGGTGACCAGAGGTGTGTGGGGTGACCAGGAGGCTGGTCTTGGGTGTGTGGTGACCAGGAGGTTAGTCTTGGGTGTGTGAGGTGACCAGAAGGTGTGAGGTGACCAGGTTAGTCTTAGTGTGCGAGGTGATGGGAGGTTAGTCTTGGGTGTGTGAAAGGGTGACCAGGAGGTTGTCTTGGGGTGTGTGAGGTGACCAGGAGGTTAGTCTTGGGTGTGTGAGGTGACCAGGAGGTTAGTCTTGGGTGTGTGAGGTGATCAGGAGGTTAGTCTTGGGTATGTGAGGTGACCAGGAGGTTAGTCTTGGGTGTGTGAGGTGACCAGGAGGTTAGTCTTGGGTGTGTGAGGTGACCAGGGGGTTAGTTAGTCTTGGGTGACCTTTCAGTGGTTGGCAAGATAACAAGAGAATGTTCTACTGACCTTCCTCAGGGATGCCACTTGGTTGTGGACAGGCAAATGACCCAGAGAGACTGCGACCAAACAAGACGCTGTATATTGCCAATCTTGAGTTTTTTTCACAAGCGAGAGTGAGTTCCCCATCCTCACACACCACCTTGTTGATGAATGTCTCTGTAAAGTGGATTATGGGCTAAATAAAAAGTAAAAAAATATACAGTAGTACAACTCTCACCATTTGCTCCTTCAGTAAATGTGAGTGTTGGATTTAAAATAAAATTTAATTACAGTACGTATAGAGATACTGTACAAACACCAAAGATCACCTAAAAGAATACGCCCTTCACTAGTGCATTTACAGGGACTCGTAAGGTTTTGTGCAGCGTGGCAGCCCTGTGTTTGTTTACATTCAACAGAAGGAAACTCGCAAGAGTAAACATATTATGAAATCAAAGTAAACCAATATTAAAACAAATATCTCAATGTAATGATTTGTGGAATGTTAAATGACAAGCCACTGTAAATGCACTAGTGAAGGGGACTGTGCCTGTACAGTACAGTATACAGTGTGTGTACAATCCCTTCTTCATGGAGAGAGAGTGACAGTTGGTAACACCTGCCACAGTAGATGGTACAGGACAAAGGTAGGTCATCCTGTTTAAACAAATCACTATTTGGCCTGCCTGCATCACAAGCTCAAGACGACAACATCTACTGGTGAGTACCGGTACAGTATTGTACAGTACAGAAGTAGAACAGTACAATATACATTATTTTGTTTATTTACAATATATTGTATGTGTACAGTGGTGTTTGCAAAAATAAATGCAGCTCTGTGTCTGTCTGTGCGAGATACATAGTTTAGATTCTGAAAACTTATCCCAGTACCTAGAAAAATTCCAGGGATGTGGAATTTTTCTGGGGATGAGAAATTTGTCTCAATACCCGGAAATCTCTCATTCCTGGAAGAGATCTGCACCAATTTTTCTGGCTTGTGGGATATCACTTGTATACTACAGTACTGTATACACTATACTGTACTCACCAGCAGATGCTGTCGTCTTGAGCTTGTGAGACAGGCAGGCCAAATGGTGATATGATGATACAGGATGGCCTGCCTTTGTCCTGTACCATCTACTGTAACAGCTGGTGCCAACTGTCACTCTCCCTCCATGAAGGAGGGATGGTACACACACTGTATACTGTACATACACCCTCTGCACACTAGCATACACCATCCACTCTGTTATGTACAGTACAATAGTGTACATATGACACTTTCACATTTACTGACTGTACAGTTCAGTATATGTAACTGAAATAACTTTTTACGTCTTAACACTGCTTTAGAGGTGTTACAGCGATGACTGGTATTTCCCACACCCATGGAGCTGTGAGGGATTAATGGATCTCATGTAATTGACTTGGCCTGACTCAATGTGAGGTCACCCACTGTTGGGTGGGGGATTAGTGGGTCTCATGGCCAGAAGATGTCTTGAATAAAGATGGAAGCTTAGGTATTTTTGAGGCGCGAGATCGCTAGCAAAAAAGTGTATAAACTTTTATTCACAACATCTGCTCTAATTGTGTTAGAGATATGAATGATACAATTGCATATAAGAAGATGCATTCTTGATGATGTTATTTTTTACCTATGATATATATATATATATATATATATATATATATATATATATATATATATATATATATATATATATATATATATATATATATATATATATATATATATATATATATATATATATACCATAATTGAAAAAGAGTGATGAGTGGAGTAAAGAAGATCTTAAGAAAAATTGTGGGAACTAATTATGATGAGAACTACGGTACAATAACTTGCACTTGAGAATGAATGAATATTTAGTTGATAAGTAAAGGAATTTAAGTTTGAGCTGCTTGTATGGCAAGAGATGTTGCAAAAAGACGAAGGTACAGTTGCAGACCCTAACTCGTCTGGTGTGGTTCCATTTCATCATATTTGGAGTTGATGCTCCATTTGGGGAGGAACCAAATTTTTCCCCCTGACTGTAGGTAGAATTATTGAAGTGTTAAGGCAAGGGTTCTCAACCTCTTTTCTGCCATTTACTTCATAACGTCGGCATGACCAGTCAATTACCCCCACATCCCATAAATTAGCGTAATAAGCTATTTAAGGAAATGGGTTGGACCATACAAATGTCTGAAGTGATTGATAATTAATTTTATTCATGTTTGTTCATGCTGGACTTGAATAAGAATTTGGGACTAAGGGTGCAGCCACACTAGCTACATTTCCTCCCAGAGGGTGGATGAGGGAAGAACTTTTAAAATAGCAATTAAATGCCAGGTAGCGACGTGTCCTCCAAATATTACTTATTAAGTAATTATTAGATGTTTTAATTGCCTGTATGTTGGCCTGGAGAATTGGCTAGGAATTAACATACCTAGGTAGCATTGCTGAGCGTCGCATTCGAGCTATATCACAAAAACTGGTTTTTAGAAAAAAACGGCTTTTTTACCTATGATATATATATATATACACTATATATATATATATATATATATACGTATATATATATATATATATATATATATATATATATATATATATATATATATATATATATATATATATATATATATATATATATATATATATATATATATATATATATATATATATATATATATATATATATATATATATATATATATATATATATAGTACAATATTGTATATGAAGGGTACAAGTATTAACAGTAATTTATGAGACCACCGCTACCACCAGAAGTTGTTAATTTTTTTTTTTTTCCTTATATTCTTATGATTATAGAAAGTATTTTAAAAGAGGTGACAAATTTGATATTATAATGAACCTGAATAAATTCTCTATGAGACGATTCCAATAAGAAATCCTCAAACAAAATATTTCAACATGATATAATGATGGGGAGTCCTTTCTTTTATATATAAAAAAGGCAAGAAATGTTGATACTGGAGTCAATAAAATCAGTTCTAATTAAGTGAGACACACCATTGTTATACCCCACCAAAAAAAATCTTGAATAGTTTATTTAAAAGTTTTGTTAAATCTATATGATACAGGAGTGATTGGAGCTGTGGAATTTTCTACTCTCCACTGGAAAATTTTCCCGAGGCCAGACACATCTCGCACGGAGTTGTATTTATTTATGCAAACACCACTGTACACGTACAGTGGTCCCTCGGTTAACGAGCGCCTCGGTTAACGAGATTTCGGTTAACGATTTACCTTCCATAAGATTCTTAACTTTGGTTAACGAGCAATCCCTCGATTAACGAGTTTTTTACGAGCCGACTTCAACATGTTTTCGCTTGCATTTGGCGGTCCACCAGCTGTAGTATTAGTCCGCCAATACAGTAATCGGTTTTAGGGCTTAAATTCCTTACTATTTTAGTAAATATCAAGAAGTTTATACTATTCAATAATTTTAAAAATTTAATATTAACTTTTTTAGTCATTTTAACAATTATTGAACATAATTGAAGGTAAAGAAACTAGTTTCTGGCGTGCCATCCAGCCTGTTAACACACCAGACAGGTGTTAGTCTCTCTCTGTTTTCAGTGGAGGTAACATCTTGCTTGAGACTCTTCAACTAAACGCTTTTTTTCTGTGTTTCCAAGCAAATTATTGGTCATTTTGAAATGTATTTTACATATTGACAATATATAATGCAGTGCAGTGTTGATTTAAAGAAAATAATCTTGAAATACACCAAGAGAACTAAAATTTTATGGGTGAAATGGTGCTATGGGATGACTTCTCTTCCACCCCAATGCCTTCTCTTCTTCCTTCTCTTCCATCCCCATTCTAATTCCCATCATCATCATCATCATCATCATCATCATCCAGGAGCCTTCTACATACACACCTCAAAGTAAGTGTACTTTTCTACCTTTTCTGTTGAATTTAGGCAATTTTCGGTGAGCTGGAACCAATTACCCAAAAACCCTTTGAAACAATGGTTTCGGTTAACGAGTTTTTCGGTTAACGAGCAACCTGCTGGAACGGATTGTGCTCGTTAACCGAGGGACCACTGTACACTATAATGTTAATATTGTACAGACTTGGTTTACACACAAGTACTGACCTAGACTACACACAAGAAGATATAAAATATTAAAGTAAAAACACCAATCAATATAAAGTACCTGTAATAGTGTTAAGTAATACCTTAGTCCACACAAAAAATTTATATAAAGTAATAAGTGTACAGTACTGACTTGGCCTGCACTTATAAGCCACCTCGATGTACTTGCGGGTGTCAGGGCAGGGGTCCAGGTGGCTGAAGGTGTGTGGCACCACCTGTATCTTGCACTGCTCCTTGTGTTGGCATTTTGCCACCACCAGCTGTAACGTCTTGTACTGTACAGGAGAGACAAGTGTTAGCTTATGTGGGTGGGTTAATTATTGTATAGTGTGTATATGTAATACTTCTTCTACAATTGATCAACAACAACAACTGTACTTTTCTGTTAAACCCCATTTTTTTTTTAGATCGTGAGTTATTTTTTCAATTCAACCCAACCTTGCTTCGTAATCTAGGGGCCAGTGATTTGAAAACTGAGCTATGACAGAGCCCCCACCAAAATTTAACACCATATTTTAAATCTAATGAGTTTGTCATCAAAATCATAAAATGAGCCCAGGTGTCACTTTGTAGTTTCACTTTTTAGAATTTTATTTTTGAAAAAGTTTTGTTGTTTCTTGTTCTGATTTTCAAAGCTCCATCACTATTTTTTTGTACCTTTTTTACTTGTATCTGTTCCTAAATCATTTACACTATTTACCATGTTTGTGAAGATTACAGCAAATTACAGTGTTTTTCATTTTATAATAAAGAACTATGAACCACTCAACCTCAAACCATGAACCACTGAACTCTTGCTGGTGATAACGAAGCTATTTTCCCAAGCAGTTAGTAATGAACTCGGACTATCGCCATTCATTACTGTAAATATATTAATACCTACAAGAATGAAAATAATATATATTTCTGAACAATAATTGGAGTAATTTATAAAAAAATAATGTCAAGAGAATATTCTGGGTTCATTACTTCGAAAATTATTGCTTCTTTTTCTCTCTCATTGGATTAGGCTTCGGTAGGTCAAGGGTTCAGGAGTCCGGTAGTTTGGAGTTTTAGAGGTTCAGGGTTCCAGATTTTTGGGGGGTTTCAGGGGTTCAGTAGTCCAAGGGTTCAGGGATTTGGTAGTTTAGGGTTTCAAGGTTCTGGGATTTGGTAGTTTGGTATTTTAGGGGTTGATAGTTTAGGGTTTCAGGGGTTCGGAGTTCAGGGTTCATACGTAAGAGGCACCGAGTGAACCATTATTGCAGAGATTCACGTCCTCAGGCCTGAACTGAACCTAAATATTTGCAGATGATCTTAACGTAGTGAACCAACTTTTAATTTTGCACTGTACACAATACTGATAAAAAAAAAGAACAACTCCACTCATCAAGCTTTAAAGAAAAAAATGTAAAACTTTTTATTTTGAAACAAAACCGGGAAGAAGTGAACTGCTCAATGTTGGAAAAATGCCACAAAATCAGATGACAAGAATTAACTAAATCTAACATAAATATCCAAGCTAAGTTATGGGATATGGTTACATTTATGACAGATACAATAAACTACAATACAGTAAAATGTCTTCAATGATGATTAATTATCAGAGGGAAAAAAAGCCATTTAATGGGTTAAAATCAAGCAGTGACAATGGTGTTGACAATAACTGATAAAACACAAGTATCAACTCACATTTACTTCCTGAGAATACTCGCAGACAGTCTTGTGTTGCTGCTGGTGGACGGGGAGTGTCGATAAAGGCGGACAGGGATCGTGGGCCGCACCATCATCGACACTTCCGTCTGGGGCCTGTCTGGGGCGTCCATATCTCGCAAAGGTGATGTCGATGGTGGTGTTGTTGGGACACTGTACGGTGAGGCTGGTAGCATCACAAGCGTGTCGTTGGAAGGTCCTCAGAGTGCCTGCCAAGAGTGCTGTAATGAGAACCAGAGAGAGATGGTCCGTGTTAGTTGTGACAGCCCGCCACCTGAGAGAGAGTCGTGAAGCAACACAGCAACCCAAAGTTTAACACCGAGTCATGCATGCAGTAAATATTTCTTAAGACAGTGAAATCATGCAGCACACTGAAGACTAAGGAATCATGTATTATAAACAAAAACCCATTACTTTACCACAAAATCATGCAACATTAGCACTAACCATATACTTGCCACAAATCATGCACGAGTAACACCATCCCAACACTTAACACAACACCATGCAGTATACTTAACACCATCACAATACTTAACACCAGGTAAAGTTTCATCACCAAATTAACACACACACACACTGGATCAAAAGAACATCTCCTTGGCCAACACAGATTAATGAAGATTGTAAGGCGGAAATACAAACACATATACATCTATACATACATACATACTTAAAACATAAACATACACCATACTTAAAATACAGTCATACAGCAGTACTTAAAAATGACAAGAGGAATTAAGTAGGGTTTGTAAAATAAGAGGAAATGCCCAATGAAAAGTTGACGCTCAGACAGACAGACAGACAGACAGATCAATCGAATGACACAAATTTATCTATGGGTATAAACAATAATGAACAAATATTAAGTCCAACACTTATCTAATTAAGGTTTTTTTTTTTAATGGCACCTTCATTCACGTGTTTGTTTGTTTGTTTTAATGAAATAGAATATAAACCCGGTGGTATAGTGAGGGAAATAAACTAGGGTATAAACCATAAACCAAATAAACCGGATAATAAACCAAATAAAACCTTTCCATTATCCTTGGGAGATTAGGTTTGGTTTATTTCATTAATTTCAAACTCGTTTTTTCATGATATATTACGGTGTTACATACAATTAAAACAAACACCAGTTGATACCCTTTAAAAAAACAACAGTAAAACATAATAAACATCATAATTATACCCCAAAAAACATAAGATTTACACAGTACTATTACCTTACCTTAAGTAGATATATAAATGCATCTTACGTATATGACACAATTTAGACGAATTTACCGATTAAATTAATACACGTCTCACCTGACTAACACCTACGCATCTCCACACATTAACAGAGTCTACGGTGTCTGCTTCTCCTTTGACCATCCGTTTTCTCTAATCCATTTTCTATCGCCGTTTTCTTTCAGAGGATTCCTTATGGCGCCACATTAAATCATAAACTGTTTGATTTCGTATAAATTTTTTCCACAGTGGTTTTTATCATTATAATCAGTACATAAAAAGAGGCAATAAATTTTTAGATTATTATAAGTATTTTCTCTTTATCTACGACCATAAATCACCTGTAATGGGCAGGGTATGAAGGATGAGGGAAATCGCGGGGTGAAACAAGGTGAAAAACTGATCATGTGATACTAGAATAAAATTACGTCTCTACGTGCTTTGTACTGAAAAAATTAATTATTTACCATAAATACTCCTCTGAACAATCTGTCTCGTCAGCGCGTGTAGTCTGTTTCTTTACAACCTGTGCTTGGTCTCACACACACACACACACACACATCAAATTCCACCATGACGCTTCAGCAAAGTTGTTTAATATGGAGGCGGGTCCGTCCCCAGGTTAAGAAGTTAGGTAAGGTTGGGTAGGTCAGGTTATATTACGGTCTTTTAAAATACTGACTATAATCATTATGATAAGAAGATCTGTAGGAAAAAAATTGAACGAAATCCAACTTCTTCTGGTGGGCCCCAGTACACTATGAGGTCAAACTTAACCAAGGATAAACTAAGCTAACTCCTCCAGAGGTGTGTGTGTGTACCTCTATTGAACTACAGCACCAAAAGGAGAGAGAGAGAGAGAGAGAGAGAGAGAGAGAGAGAGAGAGAGAGAGAGAGAGAGCCATCACATTCCGGGCCGTGTTTATCACCATCTTACAGGTAATAAATTAACACGGTGTAGGTTAAGACAACCTTACGTACCTCATGTTGTGTACACCTGTTGACTGTCCAGATGGGCCCCAGACTTAATAGGCCGATATCCCAATGGGCCCCAGGGCTAATAGGTCCTAGTGTTAATTGGTCCCACAAAAATTGGCTCTAATTCTAATAGGCCTCAGTTGCGATAGGCCCACAGCCTGCCAACCTACCTGCCACAGCCTTCCAACCTAAAATAACTACTAACCTACCTACCACAGCCTGCAACAACCAACGCTAGAGGCAGGCTGGGTCACCATTACCCCACACAGGCTGATGGCATCTTCGCTACCTGCCCTCCAGAGTTAATTAAAATTACCTGTACTTACTGGTATTACAACTACCTGTAATCAACACAGAGACGCCGACATTAACACCTGTACGCCATGTTTGTTTTACGTTAACTAAAGATTGTAGCGTAAACAAATAAAAGATGTGTGGTTTAAGCTAGGCTGTGGCAGACACACACACAGGTCGTGGCAGACACACACACAGGTCGTGGCAGACATACACACACAGGTCATGGCAGACGCACACAGGTCGTGGCAGATACACACACAGGTCGTGGCACACACAGGTCGTGCAGACACACACAGGTCAGGCACACACACACAGGTCGTGGCAGACACACACAGGTCGTAGCAACACAGACACAGGTCGTGGCAAACACAGACACAGGTCGTGGCAGATACACACACAGGTCGTGGCAGACGCACACAGGTCGTGGCAGATACACACACAGGTCAGGCACACACACACAGGTCGTGGCACACACACAGGTCGTGGGCAGGGCACACACACAGGTCAGGCACACACACACAGGTCGTGGCAGACACACACAGGTCGTGGCAAACACACACAGTCAGGCAAACACACACACAGGTCGTGGCAGATACACACACAGGTCGTGGCAGACACACACACAGGTCAGGCAGACACACACAGGTCGTGGCAGACACACAAGTCGTGGCACACACACACAGGTCAGGCAGACACACACAGGTCGTGGCAGACACACACACAGGTCGTGGCAGGACACACACAGGCCGTGTGGCAGACACACACACAGGTCAGGCAGACACACACAGGTCGTGGCAGACACACACAGGTCGTGGCAGACACACACACAGGTCGTGGCAGACACACACACAGGTCGTGGCAAACACACACACAGGTCGTGGCAGACACACAGGTGGGAACATCTCCATACGGTGTTTTAAAGGTGAAGTGAGTGTGTCTGCCACCTGTGACTATGAGAGAGAGAGAGAGAGAGAGAGAGAGAGAGAGAGAGAGAGAGAGAGAGAGAGAGAGAGAGAGGCAGACAGAAGACCTCAACTAACACGGTATCTTAAAACTGTCCAAATAATTCCGTGAACCCTTGATGGCAACACTAATTAATTAACATCTCAATCAGTTGACTAAAATAAAATGTTCCTTGTATAGCCTGACGTAATACTGTGATAGATAGATAGATAGATAGATAGATAGATAGATAGATAGATATTGATAGGTAGATATAGATAGATAGCTATAGAGATATATTTAAAGTGCATGTATTATATTATAAATACAGTATACACATTACAGATATACAAACAATGTATACAGACACACACACACACACACACACACACACACACACACACACACACACACTGTAGTACCATGTTGGAGGACTGCCACATACACATGGCCACTACACCATCTCCCCTAACGTTGTCGACCATGTTGGAGGAACACCACGACCACCACCACCTCTAAGAGAAATATTAATAATAACAAGACTACTACTACTACTACTACTACTACTACTACTACTACTAATAATAATAATAATAATAATAATAATAATAATAGGACAATAACAACAATAATAACAATAACGTGTAAGACACCTGATAGTATGGTATTAATTGTTCACGGCTGGAAACTGTTATATGAACATGGTGAAAACATTTAGTTGAACATGTGAACTCTTTGAACTCACGGAAAATATTCGTTTTATCAAGGTGTTCAAAATTGCCATGTGTAGAGGGGGGGGGAGGGGGGAGGAGGGGGTATGATGGATGTGGATGAGTGTGGGTGTGGATGGGGTGTGGCTTTACTAACCCACATGTTTATTCCATACATCACACCTTCCCGTGACCACCTGTGCCAAGAATGTCTCTACCCTGGCACCAAGCACATGCTTGACGCCACAGTGCCAGAACACACACACACACACACACACACACACACACACACACACACACACACACACACACACTAATGAACCCAGAACCATACTAGCACTGTTTTACACGTCACAGAACCCCAGTGAACCGGACTGACGTAGAACCAACCAATACGACGACGAACATGAGATGAAGTTAACTATGAACAAGAAGACGGGGATATTTAAGGGGTAATATACTGTAATAACACAATATAAGTTTAGCATCGGCCCTGGGGATGGTGGGAGGAGGAGGAGGAGGTGTAGAGGAGGAGGACGAGGAACAGGTTGAGATGGAGAAGGAGAAGGAATGGAAGATAAGGAGGAGGAGGAAGAAGAGGATGTGGGGGTGGAAGAGGAGGAGGAGGGGAGGATGTAGAGGAGGAGCCACCACCAGAAGGATCACCCCAGCTTAACTCGGCCTCTCGCCCACAGGGGTCTCTCTCTACTGCAGTTTTACTTCCACTGTATGACTTGTGATCCTCTTACGTGGCCTGGCTCTCCATCCGGCCCTGACCTTACCCTCCCCCACCCAACCCTGACCTACCCATCCAGCCTTCAACTGACCCCCCTCCCACACCCAGCCCTGACCCCTCCCACAACCCCAAAACTCCGCCTGGTGACATCATTTATCACACCCATATTAACTTACCCAGCAGTACCTCTTAAGAGCACCACTCAAATATTAAAATTACAGGTGGTCCAAAATGAAGCCCTAAGATTCGTCACAGGTGAAAGATACCCCTTCACCAGAACCACAGCCGAGATACATAGAGACCTGAGAATAAAACCCATCAA